AAAGGGGGTTGGGGGGTAGGGGGGGGGGGGGGTTGTTCTTTTTCATTTTCCCTCCCTCTCTCTGATGAGCACAGGCAGCCTCTGGCAAATTAAAAATAGTAAGAAATCTAAATGCAAGAAATACTCTATTGTGAATCCCTCTGTGCCACTTCTCCGTGAACACAGGGCTCTCATACCCACAGATAGCACTGGGTCACACGGCAGAGTGCGGTTCTCCCGGGAATTCTGGTGGGTGTCTCACTCAAGTCAGAGCAAGGTGATACAGCAAAGACGAGTCAGTCTCGCTCACTCAGGGAGCGAGCTTAAGTGGCTAATCGTCAGATGCTCCAAGACTATCGCTTCATTTGTGCGTGTGTGCAGTTTCCGGTGTTGCACGTACATCTCAGTTTGATCTGTGCTCTCTCCATCACTCTTAATCTAGAGATGATCACAACAGTAAATTAAGCTCTGAGTTGTGACGTTTGCAGACAGCCAGTAAGTAATTAAGAGGTGATGAGTTTTGAGCATCAGCATTATCTTTGTTTTTAACATGTTTATATCATGCAATTATAAACAAGGGCAACATTCAACTCCTAGCTCACGAAACTCCTGGAACTCTAGCTTTTAGTGGTGGCAGCAGCAGCACCAATGGCCGAACCATGGCTCCCTGCAGGCTGGTCTCCATCCTGCCGCCTGCCCCTCCTCTCACCTGCTGCTCTGTCCTCCTGGCACCATACCTGACGTAGGTGTGTCTAGCGTGTCTGCTCTCATGTCTCTCCTGCAGGAGGTCCCGAGCTCCCTGCGGGCCGCAGTCTGTACTGCAGGGCAGTGTTGGGCCCTGGGTATGCAATGCACCTGTGTTCAGTAAAAGTCCAAGAACCTCAAATTTGAAAGTCAGGCTCTGTGAGACCCGCGTACAACACTGAGACAAACAAAAGGTGACACTTTCTCTTTGATACAAAAGAGGATGCATCACGGAGTACTGAGTCTTGATACAGGTGCCACAGGACCCAGTTGTGGGGAGCCTGGATCTGTGCAGGACAGGCTCCCTACGTTCCTTTGTCCACCCTTACAGATTTTTAGCTGCAACATATCTCCATCTTAATGTGAGAGAAGAAATAAAACAGGTTCAAAATTGACACAAAGGAGATAATCAAATTTTAGTCTATAACAGTGCTGCTTTTCATGCACATGGTGCTTTTGACTTTTCAAAACATTTTTCTAAGTTTATAACTGCATTGTAGAAACATTAGACAAATGGTTTTTATTCCCCTCCTTTTTTATTACCAGAGTCTGTGTACACCTGTCAGAGAGAAAGAGAAAGGAGAAACCACCCTCCAATGGGGTGTGGTCATGCCACAATCCCTTCTCCATTTCAGCTCCTGTTGGGATTCTGGGACACACATGTACCTGGCATGTTTTTCAGGTTGTATGGGTTCAGTTTCGAACTGTAGTCAGCCAGTCATGTGGGATTTAGTTCCCCTAACCCCCGGGCTACGGGGCTGGCCCGGACAAATGGATACATTTTAAAGAAGGAAAAAACCACCCAAATTTTGCCATTGCAGATCGTGAGCTGACTGTCCCATGTGTGCTTGCACAGCTGTCACAGTACACGTTGCTTTTTTTTTTTTTGGAGAGGTTTTCGCTATAGGGCGCGTGTGCTCGCCAGACAGAGAGAGACATAGAGACAGAAAGCGAGAAATCACCCCCCAGGGGGGATGGTCACACTGCAATCCCTTCTCCTCCATTTTCCTCTCAGGATCTTGGGCACGCATGCACACGCACCCGGCGTGAGTTTTAAGCCACCGGGTCCGGGACGCGAACTGCGGTCGACTACGTGGGAGTCCAGTGACATAGCTATTACGCTAACTGCTGGTTCCCTCACAGTACACGTTTCTTTCACCCCAGGAGATGTAAGGACTGCTCTGAGGCCAATTTTTCACTTAATTTTGTAAGAACACCCTTCTGAAATGTTGGTCTGAACAGCAATCTCGGTCACAACTCAGTATCTGTACCACCTCACTGCACCTGGGTACCCATCTGCCCAGACCCCACCGCTGACCGCTGTCTCCCCAGGTTCCCCCTGCGTCCTCCCGTGCCCCTCCCTGCGTAGATTTCCTCTCTACTGCCTTCTGTACAGGAGAGCTGATCTGCTCTCCAGGTTGGGTAAATGCCCTGAGGGCAGGTGCCAGGCCAAATGGAGTCAGACCTGCACCCCACGAGGTGACACCAGCCACACCTCTCCAGAGTATCCATTAGGGCTGACGCCTGGATGTGTCAAGGAAGCAAAGATGGAATAACTGGAAAGAAAACTGCAGTAACACCATGATAGTGAAACATTTTATTTTTATTGAGAACATCTCAAATCCTTGTCTATATATGACAGCATCTCATGCTCAGTTCTGGTTGGTCTGGAGCGACAGGGAGCGCATGCGGGTCGTAAGGTGTGGCATATACATGAATGTACACACGGAGAACACTGAGGAGCGCATCTCAGCAACACGTTTCCCGGCGGAGTTACATTCACATACGTGGTCCAGATTCTAAAATCAAGTTAACAGCATCTAACCCAAAGCCTGGAAAAGCTAGCAGCTTACAGGCTTACTCCATTCACCTTCCAGACACTGTGCTTTTGATCATTCGTGTCCATGTTTGGAAGAATGGCCCATTGGTTCCTGACGTGCCATCAGCTTATGCTGTGGCCAAAGTGTCCTCGGGGCTTGGTGCTTGTTCCTCTAAACAGTAAACAAGGACGTGCAGCCGATGCTGCCAGAACAGGAGGAATGTTCACATGGAACTAAAAAAGCCAACGCATCTTCACAACCAAGTCATGACTGAGCCCAGACTCACCATCCATCTCGACCCACCCCAGACCTGGCACGTCAGAGGTTTCCTTAATTCCATTTCCTGGCGCCATGTCCAGACCAGAACTCTGGCATGGATGGCACCAAGAGGTTCAATGCCATGGTGTTAGGTGCATCCCACCCCCCACTTGGGCAGACTGCCACATGACATGTTAGTGGACAAGGACACGTACAGGCTGTACACACACCGAACACACACACGCTGTCCTTTCCATTATAGTTTGGGCTTATTAAAAAGGAATCTTTAGAGCATCTCTAATTTCATAGAATTTAGAGATGAGATAGCAATGTTATTTCTCCTACTGGATCGAAGTTGTGATGGGGACGGGCCTTGTATTTCTGGTGAATAACACTTTAAACATGAAAAAGATCCATGATCCATTTGTGTTGCATCTATATGTTTACTTGTGAGAAAAGTGGGGAAGGGTGTGTGCAGTCTTCCTAGTTTTGCTAATTCCACACCCTGTGCTCACTGGGAAGACAGAGCCGCCCAGCAACTCAAACACTTGCCTGAAATTACGGAAACAATGCCTTCCTAAAGAAAGCAGTGATTCTATAGCCTGGAGCTAAATAATCTGAATAAAAATAAATTCCAGAGAAATCAATGCCTCTTGAGATGTTGGCTCATACATTTTAAAATAAAATAGTTGTTTTTAATTACAAAAAAAAAAATCTCAACGAGGAAAAGGAAAAGATGGTGAAAAGTTACATTAAGACTTGGATCAGGACTGCAGTTCTTTGGTGACCCTCTGACATCTGAGCAGGTGGTCAGGGCTGAAGGCGGACACGTTAACCACCCTGACTGTCACTATGCCTGGGCCCTGATCTGCCCTGGAAGGACCCGGCTCCCATCACCACTTACAACTCCTGGCTGGAGACGAATGGCTGGATGGCTGCCCCTGGTGGAGCCCACCCTGAGTGGGTTCCAAGGGACAATGTCTGTATGGAACTGACACTCCAGGTTTAGCTAACAGAACAGAACAGAGGCCCTCCCATCTCCACTTGTCAAAATGTCCTCAGAACTGAAGATTGTTCTCAAGAGACCAAGCTCTCGGTAGTCACCTTTTCTACTAAGTCTCCATCACCCGGCTAGCTCGCAGCAGCCTTCAGTGCCTTAGGGACAGAACAAGGTGCCGAGAGTGTTTCCAAGGGGCAGCCTCCAAGTGTCCGTGTCCTGGTTGGTCTTGGGATCAGCATTCCTGACTGGCTTTGGTTACAGACGGCTGTTCAGGTCATCCTGTCCCTGGGACAGGGAGGTGCAGGGCCTCTCATCTGGCCCGGGGAGTGGCTGCTGCACCCTCCTGCCCCATCTGCTCAGGACTCCCGAGCCTTGGGCCTTGGGCTGCCTTGCTTCCTCCCATCAGGCCCACACCCACCTGCTCAAGGTAGTGAGCCTGTGCTGGACCACACTTGCCCTCAAGGCCATCGAGTCCAACAGGAAAGGCACCCGGTTGCAGGCAGCAGTCTCGGTCCACCCCACAGTAAGGCATTGCTTTTTAGGGGTGCAGAGAAGAGCAGCTCTACACACTGTGCTGCGGCCCACAGAGGACGGCCCAGCCCCGCACACTGCGCTGCAGCTCATGGAGGGCGGCCCAGCTCCACACACTGCACTGCGGCCTGCGGAGGGTGGCCCAGCAACCTGCTTACACGCACATGGAACACGGGGCCTTCAAAAAGTTCACAGAAAATGCGTATCATAAAAAACTTCGCATGGACTTCAAAATTTTCTGCACCAAAATAAACTCACATTCTGACTCCTTTCCTCCACAAACTTTCCAAAGTTCCCACCCTGTATACACCCCCTGAACTGTGTAACCCACATCCACATATTTCTAAAAACTAAGTGCATCTCCCAATCCCCACTAGAAAAATACAATTTCTGGAGACAAGAACAGAGACACGCAGACTCTTAGACATCTCTTCAGAGAATGTGAGGTCCACCTCTGGGAGGGCTGTGCTCCCACCAGACCCCTCCACTCTGGGTGCAAAGTACACTCCAGCACACTCGCCCCACGTGGTAGGCGGGCCAGACCCTGATGGGCCAGGGAGAACACCTACTTAGTGGAGGCAAACGCTGGTGCACAGATGTCACCCTCTGATCCTGGTGCATCCCTGAACTCAGCATAGCACCCTCTTTATGCCATGCAAGCACAAGCCTTGAGGGACCAGAGCCACTATGAGGCATCAGTGTGGACACACATGCCCCTCCAAGGCCTGGCCTCCTGGAATCTGACTTTCCAGGGCCCACGAAGAACACAAAACACACAGCTCAATGCCCACAGGTGCCAACACCTTGGACTCTGTTGTGCATTCATGGTCTGGGTGGAGTCTGTGCTATCTCTGCCCTGAGGCCCACGAGACCCACTTCTGTACAACCCCCAGGGTGCGAAGGAGGGTGCTGAGCCACTAGGGCCAAGGGCGCTTTCTCGGCTCCTCCCTAAACCTGAGTGGAAGCAACAAGGCAGCTGGTGTGAGTCTCTGAGCTTAGGCCAGGGCTGTATTGTGGGTGCCACGGCCCTGGCACTCTCGACTTCCTGGGCTGGCTCACTATCCTGGGCATAGGGTGTTGAGTCGCATTCGTGCTCCCCCCAGAAGCCAGTGGCACCCAAATTCCTGCCATCACAGTCATGTCCGGGCTGCACGCACCAAAGGCATGTCTCACCAGCTCTAGCCAAGGCTCTTAACTTTTCAAAAATGTCTGATAAAGCTAGAAAGAATAATTTAAAAATATGCCTATGTGGCATTTTTCTGAGGATTAATATCTACTTAAATAATTCTATTTCCATCCTGTGAAGTCTCTGGGCCATCACTGACACTTAGATTCTGAGAAGGACAGAGGGGACTGCAGCTGTCACTGTGCAGTGTCTCTGCGGATTTCCCAGTGCTTACTGAGCTACGAACCCAAACTAATGGCCGCACAGGGCTCTGGCCATGTGTATCTTTGATTGTTTGAAAGGAAACTGAGGAAAGTTTTCCACAACTGATCCTACAGGGAGCACGAACGCTTCTAGAGGAAGCTGAGGGCTACAGGGCTGGGCCGTGACCCTCTATGGGGCAGGGCCACACTATGGCATGCGGGGGCTGCTCCTGGGGCTTGTGGAGGCCTCTGCGTGGCAGTAACTGTGGGTGTGGCTGTGGAGAAGGGGGCCCAAGCCAGACACAGATGTGCGGCTGGTTTTCTTCAGGCTACTATGTCCCACCTCTGCTTTCTCACCCTCCTCACACAGAAATGCTCCTTTGCAATTAAAATACTGTGGCATAAAAGTGACGTGACGTAATTACTTATTTTATAAACCATATTTCTAGCTCTGAATAAATTACTTTTTCAAGAATTTCACACAAAGTAATTTCTATTTTCCTAAATGTAAGGAAGCCCTACTCAGTAGAACTCAATTTCTAAACGTAAACGGAGTTAAAAGCAGTTGCTGGATAATTCAACAGGGGAAATGCCGCGTTCTCAGAGAGATGCTGGGTGGTGACGCTGGGTGCTGACGCCCCAACGCCCTCCCCAAGCTGCGCACCTTTCCCCGACGCAGACGGGACACCCAGTGGTTCCCGTGCTCCATGCCCGCCCCAAGGTTTGCACCTGCCCCCAGTTCAGACGGGAGGTTCCGGCGACGATGCTGGAGCCCAGCAGCCCCTGTACTCCCAGGCTCCGTGCCCACGGTCAGGGCGTGAGTGAGAACTGGTCCTGCTCCGTGGGTTTCTCCACCCAGGCACCCAGCCCCGCCTTGATGAAGGCCGTGAACAGACGTGCCTTGGCTGCCTGGTACTCCTTAGCCGCCAGTTTGGACTCATGGTAGATGTTGGGTTTAGTGATCTTAGAGCGCAGCAAGTAGGTGGGAACCTGTGAAAGGACAAGAAACGAGAACACTGTCGAAGCGGCAACAGATGAGAGGCAATACTAGGATGTTCAAAAATGGCATTTCGAACTGGCTGGCTTCTAGGGGCAACAGCTCAGGAGAAGATGCCTGCAGTGAAGGGACTAGCGCCGCTCAAGACAAAGCATCTCCGTGTAGCACCTTGCGGTTAATGGGTGTTCTGAGCCACTGCCGGCAAACCCACACAGATGATTCAAGTTTCACTTACAGTTACAGCTTTAAGAAAGGCAACACAGGTGTTATCACTCCGAAGACCGCTGAGGCACCCCTCATGAGGCTGGCTGATGGCTGTGTGAACAGGACCCTCCTGAATACTGTAATTGCCAAGTGTAGCCCCTCCCCCATTGAATGCTGCTCTCATATAAATGAACACTATAAACCTGACTTAGAAAGAAACGGAAACGGGCTGGCTCTGTGGCCTGGAAGTTAAGGCAGTAGGATCCCACAAGGCCAATTGCACAGTGTAAGTCCCAGACCTGGCAGCTTCAGAAACATGCTAGGTGCGGTGTGTGCATGCCTAAACTGCCCAAAGGAGGGAGAGCTAGAGAAGAGATTAACGTGTGACCATCCCCAATGGGGGTGTTTTCTCCTCTCCTCTCCTCTCTCTTTCTGGCAAGTGCATGCACTCTCTAGGAAAAACAAAGGAAACTATTTGTATATCAGTTTACCGAAGAGGTTCGACTTGGGGGACAAAAGGCCCTGTGGCTAAAACAAAAGGGCTAAAAGCCTTTATGGAGGATTTACGTGAATCCAGTTCAGTGTTTATGGTCTGAAAGGGGGTGACTGGCCCCTCCTTTTCCATAATAATTTTCAACATCTGAGCGATAAGAGAAGTTTCCTAAGAACAGTGGCTGGAGGGGGGCTCTCAGGTGCTATTTTAGGGAAGGCTAGCTGCTCTGCGGCAGCGTTAGAGGAAGAGCCAGGGCCACCCTTTAAGGCTGAAAGCACTCAGCAT